ATACCGAGTTCAGAGTTCAGACCTGATACCGAGTTCAGAGTTCAGACCTGATACCGAGTTCAGAGTTCAGACCTGATACCGAGTTCAGACCTGATACCGAGTTCAGACCCAGTACCGAGTTCAGACCTGGTTCATAGAAGCAGACCAGCTGGTCCAAACTTCCTTCCAGAATTTCTGGGTTTTCATTTTTGGATAACGATCAATAAATAAACTCTGATTGATTAATAAAATAAACTTAATTAATTAAACTCTTGATTAATTAATTGAATAAACTCTGATTGAATAGTCAAATAAAGTCTGATTAATCAATGACATAAACTGATTAATTAAGGAATGAAGCCGTTTCTCTGATCAGGGACCAAACATTGAATTTCTTCTCACCATTGAAATGTTTTCCAGATGAATCTGGATGAAAGCTGCATGACAGGAGTTTAGCTTTCAGCCTCATCGTCATGGTTTCTGTTCTCTTTCTGCCTGAAGCTCCCAATGCATGCTGGGAGTTGTGATGCTGCTCACCCAAAGCAGGTGCTGAGCCTCCTCCTCTCTCTCTCTCTCTGTCCCAGAGCGGGTTCACGCCGCTGCACATCGCCGCTCACTACGGGAACGTCAACGTGGCCACGCTCCTGCTGAACCGCGGCGCCGCCGTGGACTTCACCGCCAGGGTGAGATCATCACCTGACCTCAGAGGATAACAGGTTTATGTGGTCACCAAGGCAAGGGGTTCCCAGAGGGGGGATCTGGACCCCCACCAAGGGGGGGCATAATCATGGAGATGGGTTCCCTATGGAAACACAGAAATACAGATTTACCTTTAGATAACAGATGAAACCGCTAAATCTTCAGGTGTTCCTTATTTCTCTGAGGTTTCTGTCTCTATGCTGCCAAACGAGCTGCACACATAGAAGCAGTGAACGCACCCTGACTAGTCTTTGTCTTCTGTCTCCTCTGCAGAACGGAATCACTCCCCTACACGTGGCGTCAAAGCGCGGTAACACCAACATGGTGCGCCTGCTGCTGGACCGAGGCTCTCAGATTGATGCTAAAACCCGGGTCAGTACCGCAGAGACAGAACCACCCTGGTGGTCAGATCAGCCAGATGTTCAGTGGTGATCGTGTTTGGAGCAGATGTTTTCATTTAAGCTCAACATCAGAGGATTAAAAGCTGCTGGAAGTTCTGACGCCTCCATTCACTGGTTGGATGCCGGATGCCGGGTTATTAGCCTCCATCCACTGGTTGGATGCCAGATGCCGGGTTATTAGCCTCCATCCATTGGTTGGATGCCAGATGCCGGGTTATTAGC